CCTGACCACCCCTCCGAGCTCAGCTCTACCTTGTAAGTGTGATAGAACATAAGAGGAGGCCTAAATTTGTGACTGCAGGCGGTAGGGAAATGTGTCCTTCAGCTGATGTGCTGAGAGAGACGTTTCACCTACTTTGCCGCGTCCCTCTTATCTTCCTCTGCTGGAGCTGCCTCAGTTCAGCCTTCAGTGGAGCTGAGCTGGGAGGGGCACTAGCATGTGTGGCTCGCAGTTCTGTGGATCCAGCGGGGATGGGAAGTGGGGTAGTCATGGGGGGTGGGTCAGAAATGCAGGGTTTCCTTGGGAGCCAGCACCAGGAAGACGGGAAGGACCAGACCAGCTCAGTGGAAGGATATCTGCAGGAAATCACTGGCCCCAATGCCACCAATAGCTTTTGATCCCCCTGCCCATGTCTTGAGGTGGGTCCCACCAGCACCATGGACCCAGAGCAGCGCTGGAATTGGAGTGGTAGTGAGAAGGGAATGCCAGCTGCCTCCTGATGCCAAGCTCCCTGCTGGGAGATGGGGTTGTGTCCAGCATTTGGCAATCTCCTCTGAGCCCGCTCTGGGCGGGCTTAGGAACGCAGGGTGACGGAGGGAAGGCTATTGCTCAGTCCCTGCTGGGACTTGTCCTTCTGGTCTGAGTGCGATCCCTTCAGCTGCCACACAGGGCATCATCCTCTTTGGGCTGTAGCTGTGGCAGGCCCTCTGCTTGCTGCCAGCCTGTTGCTTTGCATAACTGAAGTAAAGTCAGCCTGGATCCAGTTGTTGGATGGGAGACCACCCCCCCATCAGTTTTGGTTGGTGCTTCAGTAGATGGCGCTCTTCCCTCTGAATACTGAGCCAGTGGGGCACGAGGGCTATTTTTTGGATGAGCTGTACAGCCCAGATCCTCCCCACTTGTAGCTGTCACCGACCCTGTAGCTAATAATGCTTTGCTCTGCTTTAACACCTTCCGCTGAAGGATCTCAACGTGCTTTGCAAACAGGAATGAATCAATTCTCCCTCAGATCCATGTAGATATTGCCCTTGTCCCTCTGCATCCCTCTGTCCAGAACAGAAAACCGAGACACAGAGCAACTAAGCAGTCACTTAGAAAGTCTATAGCAGAGCCAGATCTCTGGTCCCTTGACTATTGTGTGGTAGCCCCAAGAGAGGTGTTAACATGGCAGCTAGACTGAATATCCGAGTTGGAGTTTACATTCAGCCTCTCAGAATTCTCCTTCTTGCTCCAGTTGTGCTAGATATGCCATTTACCCTCTGTCTGTACGTTTTTGTGGGCAGGCTTGTAGGTTCTCAGTTGCTGTGTTCCACCCCAGGGCAGGCTGCACCTCTGTCCTTGGCGAAGTGTCCCTCCCTGTACGTGTAGCTTGGGATCCTTCAGGATCAGGAGCCCCACACAAAAATGTGAGCTGTGTCATTGTTGTTATTTTTAGAAGATGGTGTAGCAAGGACAGGGGTAACCCGGATGGGAGCTGGCCGTGAATTTAAAAGAACGCTCTCATCGTTCTGAAAGCTCCCGTGGGGGAGAAAACATTTCTCTCTGTGTTTCTGCTCTCTCGATTGTGTTTGAAGTTAAAAGTTTTTTGATCTTAATTGGCATTTGTAAGCCTCCTGCCAGCAGCCACCATCCAGCTGGGAAGTAACATGGCCAGGCAGCCCGGTGTCAGGGATTGACCATGGGAGGGATTGTGCTTTTTCTCTGCCTATGGTCCCACTAATCCCATCCATGTTAGGGGGGATCTTCTCTCTGTCCCATCAGTCAGCTGGAGGGGGATCCTCCAAGAACACGAGGCTCCCCCTGTCCTCGGATGTCCCAAATTCTGATTTCTGTGGGCCACCTCTCTGTGCTGCAGCTAGATGCTTGGGAAGGTCCAGGCATTTTTCCTCTTTTAGATTTAAAAAAGGGATTGAATACAGCCCTGGCGTAAACAGGTGCAAATTGTTTTGAAACCAAAGGGAGTTGAGAGGAAGGATGATCTTATGGAATGGGACTCAGGGGAGCTCAGATCCATTCCCAGCTCTGCCATGGACTCCCTTGGGCATCTCTCTGGGCCTCAGTTCCCCACCTGTAAAATGGGGATGCTAATCCTTTGTCTCCTTGATTTAGTTAGACTCTTTGGACAGAGACCATCTCTCACTATGTGTCTGTACAGTGCCTAGTACAGTAGGGCTCTGATCCTGACTGAGACCTTTAGGCGCTACCGTAAACACAATCAGAAAGAGGATTACCAGCCATGAAATTATACCCTGGAAGTGGTATAACGAAGTTGTCTCCCGTATGATCAGATGCTTCCTTCTCCGGTCCACATCAGAATCTGTAATATACTATATACCAAGCAGCCATCCTGAAGTGCTCGAGCTTTCTGAGCCACTTTGACCTGTCTTATCAGCACAAACGTGAGAGGCTTTCTATCAGAGACTGTTTAAGTGGCAAAGGTCATTTGCAAGTTCTCAGCCTGGGTACCTTTTCTGCCTGCTGTCCAAACATATAATGTTTATCCTGGGTTGTTTCTTCCTAGGGACAGATGCCATTGTTTGGCTCCAGCTTTTGACAGGTCAAAGTCATGAGAAGCTTTTCTCCAGTATGAAATCCCCTCTCCCCTTGTCACGGAAAGCTTGTTATCGTTATGGATCACGTGAATGCCATTCCAGAGGCTCGAGGCCAGAGTCAACCTATTCCCAATAGTTCTGCTTCATAAGCTCATTTTGGGCACCTCAGACCATGCTAAGCTATTGATGAATTTATGAGTGGCCAGAGTAACTCACTGTTCTTTAAAGAGTCCTCTCCTGGTTCCCAGCATTCCAATTCTAGGTGCTTTAAGGTCTTGGAAAAATCTCCATTCTAGCTTGACTTGGGGACTTCTCTAGTTTTTACTGAGCCTCCAGCTCACTTCTCTTGCTCTGCTGCTTGGACAAAATATGTTTTTGTTTGGTTTTAGTTTATTTTCCCCTCCTTTGCACTGCAGGCTGCAGTTTTACACAGCCCAACTGACAGCAGCCTGACACTACACCAACAGCGGCCGGTCCCCTCTTCCCAAATCTGTTCTCTTGCTGGCCATTGCCGCTGTGATCATACATGATGGGACCACGTGTGAGCCCTGTTGGTGTGGGGAAAAGGCTTTTAGTGGCTGGGCTTGATGAATGAAAACAAGTAAAACTGATGGACAAGTGGACAGCTTTATGATAGCTTCGTGCTGACAGGAAGAAAGATTGGTTGACAGTGGCTTGATAGAGAAATATCTTGATGGGAGTCAGATAGAGAGATGTATAACCTTGATGACAGAGAAGTCAGTTGCACAGGAGGAGGAAGAATTCTGCCTTTATTTTTGGGGGGTGTAACACCCACAGTTCACTAGCATTTTCAATTGAGATTTGCTAAATAATTATGCAAATCCGTATTGTATTCATACTGCACCTATCCAGAGAACGTATCCAAGGTGCTTTCTAACAGAGCTTGTTTTGTGTTAAAAAAACCACCCCTCCTCCAAAACTAAAGCAGTAGCTGAGATTAAGGGCCAGATTTAAAGAGGTAAATAGGTGCCTAAACATGCCACTAGCCACCTCGTCAGATGTACAAAAGCATCTGACTCCCACTGACTTCAGTGGGCAGCTCGTCATTTTTAACAAGCCCACTAGGCACCTATCTGCAGCTTTAGGTGCCTAAACACCTTTGTAAATCTGGAGCTTCAGCAATACTAGATTTGAGTGAGGGCATGGCTTTGTCATTTGAGTGGCTAGACTAGACTGGACGGAGCTGCAGGCTCAAATCCCCCCCAGCATTAGCTTATCCTGTTGAGGTGATGATTTGTGCTTTGGGATCTGAAACTATAAGGTGCTGCGTGCCCTCAGCTCTCACTTGAAGTCATTGGAAGGTGAGGGCGCTTTGCAGTATCAGGCTTTCATCTGAGGCCTGTAAGTGGCTCACCATATACTTTACTGTGTGTGGGTCTTTTAGAAGAGACCTTAAATAACCAAGCTCCTGTCTGCCTGCTTGGAATATAACGATCCCAAGGTGTTTTTCATACGGATTTGCTCCTGCATTCCTGGCTAAGAGTTCTCCTCCCCTGCACTGGTGTTAGAAAATTATCCTGCAGCAGTGGGTCGAAAACACCGCAGTTGACATCAGTGATTCTGCAGGGTTCGGGGCACGTCTTGCTCTGTCTCTGCTTGAAGGTGGGTGACTGCATGGCAGCAGGCCACCCCTGTGTTATACAGTCTGTGCGGGGTTTGGGGATGAAAGGTGCTGTGTATAATGGGATAGGGCTATGAATGCAAAGGGCCAACTGGTATTGCAGTGGCTGTATAAGTGTTAAGTATTATTATACATGTTGTCCGTCTACAAGATCTACGAATGAAAGTGACCTATCAATGCAAACTCTCATATTATTAGATTATTATTTGATTTGATCATGGATGATCTAGAGATAAAAAGGGCTGTATAAACGCAGAGTATTGTATCTGATCTATCACCCCAGGTAGTTGGCCTGGCTTCCTACACCATATTTGGGCCCTTTGACTGTGTTTTTGTATGCTGATCCCTTGCAGGGATCACTCAAAAGACCCCCCAGGAACAGACGCCTAACTAAACCCACCCAAGCCTTGAGACAGGGCGTGAAAAGCGCGGCCCAGGTCCATCCAGCCCAGCCGCTCCGGCTCTCGCTGAGTGCCACTTCCAAGCCTTCCCGCTCGCCCCCCAGAGCTCAGACCGACTCGGCAAGAGACCCCCACCGGCAGAGGTGGGGCCAAGCCCGGGTGAGCTTGGTGCCGGCCAACCAACCTTGAGCCCGGCGCCCCGCCCCTGCGAGTGGGGGGCCGAGCCGCGGGTAGGGTGAGCGCAAGTGGCAACAATGTGAAAAGATCGGTTCGATTCCCCGGCACCCGGCGACTCCGGCCAAGGAGCCGCTGAGCAGCGGGCGGCCCGGGCGGGCGCTGCAGCAGCCGCGGGGGCAGGGAAGAAGGGGAGCCGTTCGCCTGCACATCCCTGCAACTTTGGACTGAGGGAGGGGGGGGGCATAATTGATGATCATGCTGCTCTTGCATTAAAATACAAGGGGAGGGGGGGGAGACGGGACGAGGAGAGGCCTCTGCCCCCCAGCCCTCACCCCCAGCCGCTGCCTTTTGCACTTCATTTCGTTGCCATGTTGGGTCGCTTGGTTTCTGCCCAGTTCAGTCTGAAGTGAAAGAGGGGGAGGATCCTGGATGCAAGAGGGAAGCTGCATATTTCTGTGAGCAAGGGACTGCGCGGGAGTAACCTGTTGTAGGCTGGAGCTGATCTTGGCACACGCCTTTCAGAGCCTGTTCCCCAGATCTCCTCCCATTCTGTTTTTACAGGTGTGGGGAAGACACCAGGAAAAAAAAAAAACAACAACCCAGCAACTCTTTTAATGGGGAAAGAAAGGGAAGAAGGGGCCCTTTAAGAGAAGAAGAACTTGGATAAAAGTTTGCTTTGGCGGTGGGGGGAGAAATTATTCACTCTTGGAAATATTTTTTCTCTCTTTTGCTGGGCCGTGGAAGTGCTGGGGAGGATGGGTTGGCGCTAAGACTTTGAAGGAACCCCTTCCCCCTAACCCTAACCCTTCCCCCCTTTGCACCGCTAGTGCTGAGGGCCACGGTGCCCGCTCTCTGCTTCTTTCCCTCCTCGGAAGCCGTGGGCTGTGTCCGCGTGGCAGTGCTCTCGGGCACCAGAGGAGCCACACACTTTGCCTGCTGACTTCGCTCCCCTTTGGAGAGGGCTGGACCATGACTGCTCAGAAATGGTAAGGGGATCATTTGCAACCTGTCGCCTGATTCTGCCGACTGCTGCTGTTCCTAGCTCTCATTTTCCTTTACATTTGCACCGGTTGGATTGAAGATTTTTTGTTTTTAAAGACGTGGGATCCTTTCACTTCTCCTGCAGGAAAACCACCGAAAGAGTTGGAGAACCAGGGACTTTGGTGGTGCAGAGGGAATGCACGAGAACAAGGCGAAGGGAGAAAGTTATCCGTGAATTCCCCCCCAACCCCATCGGACTTTCATCACCGCTGGATTGTTTAAAACAAAAATTCCCACAGCCCCACCTACACCAATAACACCCAGATCATACTGAAGACTGTCAATACTTTTGTTTCCAAAAGATCCGATTGCAACAGACTTTGCAACAAGGGGCGACTGCACACAGGAACTGCACATGCTGCCTAGCAATGATTGCAAAAGGGGATTCACTGCTCTGAATGAATCAGGAGTGTTTAGTTGCATCAAGAGAAAGGGCAGCCAGAGGCTCTGGGAATAAATGAACCGGTTGCATTCTTGGTAAAGCGAAGCCTTGCAGATACATCGGAAGGTGGGGGGAGGGGGGAAGAGAGAAAAGAAGGAAGAAAGGACGATAAAATACGATGGTGCATTTGGAGGTGGCCGTGCTGCTGGTAGCCCTTGTCGGGGTTTGTGTCTGGACTGATGATGCTGGGAAAGTTATCTCGGATCGTTATGCTGTTTATTGGAACAAGAGCAACCCCAGGTAAGATGGACAGAAGCCAAATGCATGCACCCTCCACGCCCGCCCCCCTTCTATGCAAACCCAGGGCAGCATCAGAGAAAGAGCCAACATCCCAGTGTTCTCCTGCAGCCCTAGTAAAGAGAGAGCTGTGCTGGGGGGAGGGGGCTGGTGGAGGTGGGAGAGAGAATCTGGTTCACATCATCATTTTGCTGTTGTACATGTGTTTGTTTGGTGGGTGGTTGTGTTGGCTGGGACAAGAGGGTCTTTTATTCTCCAGGGATGCGCCAAGCCTGCAACAGAGCAGTTCCTCTTGGGAGATAGATCTCTCTCTATGTATGCATGTAGGTATAGATATATATACACACACACACACACACATTTCCTTCTCCCTCTCTCCTCTAAAAAGCCCAGTGGCGGTGATCAGGACAGAATGCAAAGTTAATGATCCATTCAGGCTGAGTCAGGCTGAGGCAAATAAGGTGAAAGGTGCAAATCAGATGGTGCCTGGGTTTTTCTGTTTGTTCACGGAGTGGGAGCAGAAAGGGCAGGATTATCATAGACACTGGGGTGATTATTTTATATGAAAGTTGCCACCAACTTTTCAGCTCAGCCAAGGCCTGATTTCCCGAAGAAGTGAGAGAGATGCCTACCTGGAGAGTTTCAAACAGTCTACATTAATTTATTTGTCTAGTGTTTGTGTGTATGTGGGTGGGTGGGTGTTTATTGCTGACTTGTTGCAAAGCAAAGCATTCCTAAATAATGAATGGTGTCAATTTGCTCATTCAGTCTCCTCTGTTGTAAAACTGGGAGTGGCAGAAATACACATGCATACATGTGTATATAGACATAGATTTGGTCTAGCTATTATTTTATTTGGCTTCGCTTGCATAGTGATTTGATATCCTCAGGAAATCAGTATGTTTTATTAATAAAAGTATTTGTTGCAAAAAAAGCAATTCTGGGCAATATCCATTTGCAGTGAATAATGGATTCTTTTATATATATAATAGACTGCAGCTACCAGTAAGTCTCATATTTAACAGGAAAAAAAACCCCAACCATTATATTTTATTTTATTTACTGCTGCTAGTTTTAAGGGGCTTTGCAAGAGTTTCACTTTTAAACTTATAAGCCCTTGTTGAAACAAAACTGATGCAAACCCAATAGATATAGATATTAATTTTACAGTTCTGTTTTTTGGCAGACATGGTTCTGGCACCAAATACCCATTCACCCAGAAGCCAATTCTGGGAAGTTGTGAGTCTGCTTAGCCAAGGTGAACAAATTATAGCAGTTTTCAGAACCACTGCAGACTGTAAAATCAATTACACGTCACTTTGGAACTCTCTTCTTGTTGAATTAAACACCCTCCCTCAGATGACAGTTGTTCATCTTTCTTTGATTACTGCCTGCTGGTTCAGGTATATATTGGATGCAGGTAAATATGGCTCATGCAGGAATCTTTTTCTCAGTTGCCTTTTTAAAGTTTACAAATGGCTGAAGAAGAAGCCTCGCTCCTGGTCTGAGCTGCAGTAGGTATAAAGATGAGGTCTGTGTGGGCAAGTAATGTTGTTATTACCTGAAGTGCAGGAGGGCTGCAGATTAGTGTGTATTTTTCAGTAGTGAGGATTTCCATTTCTCAGGAAGTCAGAACCTAAAAAGGCCACATTACCTTTAGAGATTCATATTAAGCCCAATAAGAACGCCCTGCCCTGCTCTACGAACCATACCTAGGAGTTCTGCAACCCATGGGTGTGTGTTCTTAAATTTGCCCAATTTCTGTTGTGAGATATTTAAACTCTTCCATATTCCTTGGTGATGAACTTTGGGTAAATTAAAGTTTTCCCTTCCATGCAAGATCCTGAGCTGGTACTATTTGGGGCTCTTGAAAACAGAATGGACCTTCCAGTTTGACTTTAAAAGAAAGCTTAACTGTGTGAAATGTATACTGTGGAGCCATGAACGTACTCTGTGAGAACCCGAAATATATAACAAAAGGCATCTTGTACTGCCACATGATTATTTAAAATAAACTCCCATGGCTGCTTCAGTGGTGAGACTAGAAAATGGGTTATCTGTGTTCAGAGGCTCATAATGGCTTTTGCGAAATATTATTCAGTCTACCAGTGTCTAATAAATAGACCACAAAACAGTGATTACATGTGGTGTGGAAACCTGAGAATTGGGAAACAAGATTTCCCAAATACTGTAAAGGAGGAAAAAAAATTAAAGTTTTTTTTCTCTTTTCATTGCTGTTGAAAAAAATGGTATTTGGTCACTTTAATTTGTCTTTGAATTTAATTCTGCTCTTTTAGAGGTTAATTTAAACAAAACAAAGTTTCAGGTTTGTTGTAATTCTTTTAAGTCTGAATTTTTTGGGAAAACAAAATAGTTTGAGTTTTAAATCAAAATGAAATCATCGTCCCCCTCACAACTCAGGTGACTAAGACCATAAGGATTTCCCCCTCCCCCCAAACTACTTGAAATAGACAAATAAGTAGACAGTTCCGTAGAAAGCCTACTTTTTACAATTCAAAAAAAAAAAAAAGTTCCGCTAATCACAGAAATCTTCTCTATATGGAACTAAATATAATGATCATTGAGTTTGGAGGAACAGTAACTGTACTAATTTTATTCACTAGATGGTTTATATGTGCTGTTTCCTTTAGATCTTGTTTTTTTTATTTGGGTAAAAAGCGTATTTTTCGGCTATCTTCAGAACCTGCAGAGCGTTAAATCCGCGCAAGTATGGAAACATGAACCTTAGCTGATCCTTATGTAAAGACCTGTGCCCCCCTTGTAATCGTGAAATAGACAAATAGGTAGCAAAATAGATGAAATGTTGCTTCTGACATGGGGAGACCTTTTGCGCTTCCAGTGCTAGAGATATTTTCCCCCCTCTTGCTGTGGGAAAGCTCCAAGGGGAACCTTTAATAGAGAACTTTTTATTTTCCAGTTTGGTTCCTGACAGTCTGAATGGACTCTTCATTCTAGAGTTGATCTCCAGTGAAATTTTTTCATTTTATTAGAGCTCTCCCAACTGTATTTCAGTGAGGATCTCTGTCCAAATGAGCGTAGCATGATGTACGAAGGGGGTGCTGGTGAGACAACTTGTACATGGGTCTGTGGTGCAAGTCGGTCTGTCTCACTAGTATGTCACTTATATAATGTATCTACAGTCACCTATAGACTGTTAGGTGCACACAGGGTTAGGAGAATGTTAAGAGTCTTCTTACGAGCTTTATTTATCCAGCCATCACATGTTCTCTTGGAGGGATAAACAGGATCCTCAAATGTACAGTTTCTTCCAGCGTCGTGTCTGCTTTGCTCATACGATAACCCTAAAGTTTGGGAATCCCATCCTTTTGTGCGTGCATCCCTGTAATGGCTTCTTTATGGGCCGATTTTGTTGCATATGGATTTTATTATCTCTCTCGCATTTTTGTGGGGGGTTGGAAAGGAGAGATTCCCCCCCACCCACCCACCCTTACTAAGTTTTTGGTTACAGCTTCAATTTCTTCCCAGCTTCCACGGCCTTTGCTCTTTTCTTTTGTTCTGTTAAATGCCAAACATGTGCGAGGGCCCTTACAAGACAGAATGGATGTGGCTTTAACATATGTTATCTGACCGATCCAGCTTTAGGATCAAGGTCGTTGGAACTGGGGGACAGTATTGCCAGTTATTTTGGGTCAGTTTCTGTTACTAGGTGCTCAAGTATTGTTACAATAGTACTAAAAGCTGAAATTAATTGATGGTACTTCACTCCCCCTTGATATAAAGATCTCAGTAATGATGCTCACCTTCTGTTATAAGGCTCGTGACCTTTACCTCCCAACTTCATGAAACACCACTATAATTGCCCTTTTTGCCACAGCGCCTCTGTCCAAGCCCCGGGGTGGGGTTATGTAGGAGGGAGTTGGGGTATTTACCACTTAAAATAATGTTTCACAAGGAAAGTATATCTGTAAAGAAAAGAAATAGGGCAAGGGGGTGGAAAAATGAAAAAAAAAAAGCAAAAGGAGAAAAGGAAAAACGAACAATGAACAGCGTCAGTGGATTTTAGCGAGATGCATTAGCAGCATTTGGATCCAGTTAAAGGTGCCGAATTTTCCTGATGCGGTTCTGTCCCGCATTGTGGTGTGCCACACGTGTATGTCTCCATTCTGCGTGACTGAGTACAGGAAATTTAGGGCAGTTTATTAGATGTAGTAAACACAGACATTTCTGTTGAGTTTTCTGTTCGGTTTTTAAAAAACCAACAAGTGGTGTTTTTATTTATTTACCTCTAGAGATGGCAGAGGTTTGCTTCAACCTTTAAAAAAACTATTTTTTGTCCTTTTCCGTTTTGATTTATGTTCTTTTCCGTCTTGTTTAATAAAGGAGAAATGAGAAATATTAAAAAAGAAAGAAAGAAAAGGAACAAAACCATAATCCTTAAAACCCGCCCGCTTGGCTTTGCAATACATGTTTTTCCTTTCGACTTGTATTATAATTTACACTCCATAGAAGCCAATGTTAAATCTCACGGTCCACATGATTTGTCCGAGTTGCACAGTAATTCCACAATCGATAATTGTGACCAAATTAAAAATGAATTGTAAATTGAGACACTATGGTCTACCCGTTCTGTACACGTTTTTAATACAGGTAGTCTCAATAGATTGTGAGGGACGTATTTATAAGGGTATTGTAACCATGCATTTGGAAAATGATAGATAAATTTTATTAAATATGTCTCATATTGGGCAGTATCGAAATACCTGTAGGAGAGATTAGCTAGATCATGTATCTATATCTATATCTAGCTCTAGCTCTCTTTCTATATATATACCCACTTATATACAACATACATGTACTTATATACACACATTTATTTGTGTGCGCGCGCGTGTGTATGTGTGTGTAATATATACACAATAATACTTTTATATAGGCTTAAATGATGGCGGTAGCAGTTGTTCTCATGAAGCTGTCAACACCCCAATCAAGCCGCGTAAAATGGACATATGTGTTTCCCATCC